TACACTCACACCCAAAGCATAAAGGAAAATTTTGCTTGCGTAGTGGAAAGCAGACATTAAAGGAATTGCTTAAAAGAAACTTTTTTTATTACTATTAGAATGTGGTTGTTTCCATAGGGCTTTGACAGGAATAAATGATCATCTGTAGGCTAAATAGTATTATTACTCACCATGTTCAGTGCAATAAATACTCAGGACCTAAGTAAAATTATTCTTACTGCATTTCTTCTAATTTTTTCCCCATCTGAAATGCATTTCTTTCCTGTGCAATCTATCGCCATCCCTAAGCCCCTTGTGTAACAAAACCTTTTGGCTTCATTCAGAGAAGATGTCCTGAGGCTAGAAAAGACTTTCATAGGCTCTAACAAAAATAGGAGCCTACACATTCATAATAAGACAGTATGGATTATTAAAGCCAAGTAATAGCTCAAGCTGTGATTAAAGCTGCATCAAAATTTTGCCGGAAAGCAGTGAAGAAAATGCTTCTCATCTTGGGTGTCATAAGGCAGAAAGTGACTGAAAACTGAAATGTGGGGAACTTTAAAGAAAGGCTGAGTTCTCTCTGTAAATTGCTGTCATATCAATCCAAAATTTCGATTCTGAAGTGTTTTCATAATGTAGACTTAGCTATTTTTAAACAACTAATAGGTCTACTTCTTACAGGTCACACTTTGTCCACAGAGTATGCATTCAACCAGGTACAATCTGGACACATAACTCCCCCCTCTTTTAAAAATGCCTGAGGTTAAAATATTGAGACCTTCTAATGAAATCCTTGAAAAGAATCATTATATGCTCTCTCAGAAAGGGGGGGGGGGAAGATATCCTACTGTTTGTAAAGACCTCCAGCCCAGCCTTCCAGGTCTATATCAAGCTGTTAGTTTGAGGTGGAGGTGTTACAGGAGTTGTCAGGAACCACGGTGGGATAATGAGAGCAGATGGCAAGTCAAAGAGTGAAAAAAGACTACAGTTTACGTATTTGGGACTGAAGAGAGGCTCAGATCCTAAGGGCTGAGGGCCATACCTAGAAAGAACTGCTAATCTCCAGTGGCCATTAGATGGGGAGATATTTTGATTGCTTTTGCTCTTTTAATCCCACCCTTGCCCCAAGGAGCTCAGAGTGGCATATGTGCTGTCTCCAGTCCTGTCATTCATCCAGTCATCGAGTAGGAATTTCAACCAGGGTCTCTTTACTCCAGCATTCTGATCACAATACCGTGATGCTGCAAGGGAGGCAGTTCTTTCCTTCCAACTTTCTACTCCAATGCCCTAGCAGGAAATAAAGACCTCTAGTTTAGACTTGATAAAGCTGAATTACAAAGCTCTTGTCCAGTTTTGGAAGCTATCCCACTACAGGGATTCCTGCCCTTTTTACTTCCTTTTGTCTAGTGCTGGGATTCTCTTTCAGCTAGTTTATCTGTCTGCATATAGGAGTGTCTGCCTAGACTAGTCTTTCATATTCTAAGAAGCATCATAGTCAATAATTTCTGCTCAGGTTTAGGCCTCGAGGGAGTGATTCACATGGGGCTGAGGTTTTGTTTTAGATTAACCAGTTTGATGTAGTGATCAGGCATGTGAACTCTAATCTGGGAGAATCGGGTTTGATTCCCACTCCTCCACATGCAGCTGCTGGTGGGACCTTGGGCAAGCCACAGTTCTCTCAGAGCTGTTCTGGAAAGAGCAGTTCTCGAAAGAGCTCTCTCAGCCCCACCTATCTCATAGGGTATCTGTTGTGGGGAGAGGAAGGGAAAGGAAATTGTAAGCCGCTCTGAGACTCCTTTGGGTAGTGAAGGGTGGGGTATAAATCCAATCTCTTCTTCTTATTCTTCAATCTCTGAACCATTGGAACTCCATGAAGAGATTTCATGACTGCTAAACAACATAGAGAAAATACTTTAAGGAACTTAAGGATAGTTGCCATGTAAAAACAAAATCCTTGTTGAGCCATGGACCAGATTGTGTGTGTGCCTTGAATCCACCATAGTTCCTCAGTAAGTGCTCAATGGGTGTCAAGTGCAACACCACCTTTTGTGACAGTGCCTCTATCCATGACAGAAACTTAATGTTTGGGACTATAAGGTTTGTTCCACTGAGAACTCAAATGAAGCCCATGCATACTGTGGTCACATTCCTTTCTTCCATCATTCAAGCCTTGAGTCCAAGGTGAAAATGGACACCCCTACATTTTATGAGTTTTAGTATGACAAAGCTTGAGTGTGCTTGCTATAAAATTGGCCTTGCAAAGATGCAGGCTCGCCCATCCTTTCTGCAACAGCATCTTTGGTTCTCTGAACTTTTCCTAGCCAGAGCTCAGACTGTGCAAACAAAGTGGGCTTTTATGAGGTCAAAAGAGCATGAAAAACGTTTCAGCTCTTCTTTTACAATGTCGTGCACCTGTAAAAGCAAAGGCATAACGGTAGCTTGCTGTCTGTAGGTTAAGATGCAAAGGCATTCCAGCTGAAAGAAGAGCTGAGTTTATACTACATCAAAAGAAGTATATTGATTGATTGATTGATTGATTGAAATACCTTAACCTTTTATCTTGGCTCAAGGCAGGCAGGAAGGAGGACTGAGGAGAATTGAGCATGCTGATCCAAGTAATTAAATGTCACTTAATCAATCATTAAAACAGTCCTTGACCAGCACAAAACATAACAGAATCCATATACTCAAAGGTTAAAAGACTTTAAGAAGTAATTAACTCCCACATATAAGTATGATGTTTAAAAAAATACAATTCTAATAACATTTCTTCAGATAATATTATTACAAGATTTAAATCTTCATTAAGTGATGAATTTTACACGCTGCTGAGAAGAACTTCACGCTACCCACTAGGAGTGTGCAGGAAAAAATCGGGTTTTTTTAACTTTAGGATATAATAAAGCCATTTGGGGGGGGGGATTTCCAAATATACCCCGAATACCAATACCAGTATTCTATTAGTACCCCAAAATTTTCAGTATTCCCGAAAATGTTCAGCTCCATTATATCCTATGGGCCATTGTAGTCAATGGCAAAAATCTTCTAACAAGTATTCACGGGGCTGGGGAAAAGGGGTTTGAGGTAGAGGCATCAAATTTGTACTGTAGCTGCTGGAGCCTCTCCCCAAAAGACCTTCCCCAAAAGTTTGGAAAAGATTGGACCAGGGGTCCAATTCAATGAGCATCCAAAAAGAGTGCCCCCAATCTTCCATTGTTTCCGCATTCAATATTCGGCAGCCGTATCAGCTCAGGGGATCTGATTCAGTATGCCAAATATGCGAAAAATGCCGGAAAAATTGTTTTTTGGGGGGTTCAGTTTGGCTTTACCGAATGCACACCCCTACTACCACTATAAGTAGTGGGTTTTCATCTATTGACAACATTCTGGTATACATTGATTCTGAACTAGAGGGAAAAACAAACTTGATACAAATGCCCTGATAAAACGGACAACAAAATAATACATGTTCTGTGGTTTCAATCTCCCCTGTGCTGCAGGGGTATAGCCTATTTTTCATCAGAGTCTTTTTAATATAGCTCCTCTAAAACTTCAGAAGGTAGGGCTTCACATCTAGCACACGAAAATGCCCTCCTGTGACTGGGTATCTCCAACTGGGAGAGGTAAGCCACAGGAGAAACTATATATATAGAACTGTCTACAGACAAAAAAGTTTGTGTCCTCTGAAGGTCTATCTGTTGCTCAATATCCATCACCCTCTCCTTCAAAGTATGTGTTGCCTGCTCATACCCCATTTCCAAGACAGAGTGAAGGGAAAAACCCAAACTCTCCAACTTGTTTTCAATGATTAATTTTTTTTATTTTTATCAAATTCATCAAATATTATGGGTTGTTACATACAACAAATAAAATCAGATGTATTAGTAAGAGATTAGTAAGAATACATATTTCAGATATAGAAGCAGACAAAAAAAAATCAATATTACAGTGTTTTGAGATGGGTTATCTCTTTAAAAGAATAAACAAGAACTTTCCTAATGTTAGCAATAATCTATTAACGATAAGAAACATTAACATCCTTAACAGTTGAACAAATTTCTGCGCTAAAATTAAATCATCATTTCTACAACTTGTTTTTGACTGCCTTCAGCCATGTAGACTCATAGCTGTTATCAAGAATCAAGGGAGTTAAGCCCTAAGGTTTCAAATTGAACTTTAACCAGAGATTGAAGGAAGCAAGCACACCCTGGCCTCAGCTCTTACCATACCAGTTTCCCAATGTAAGTTAGCATTTGAGACACAACAGGGCAACTGGAGTAGCTCTCAAAAACGTCAATTGTACTCATTCCAGGGGAGTAATTAAATGGAGTTTGGTTCACGTCCAGTTGTGGACCTATACTGTAACAAGGAAGAGGCAGTGGAGATTAAGGGGAAGAAAACTAGGATCAAACAACATTGAGCCTAGTGGAACAAAATGTTAATGCATTCATGTAAGATTTCGTATTCACATAAACAGAGGAACAATTAAGAAAACATTATGTGGAATCCACTTAGGACTGTTTTTCTATGCATACTTTCAACAAGAAAGAGAAAAGTACTACTTTTAATATCCCAGGAACTCCACCATACATTGTTTGTACATACACCCAGCACCATCAGTTAAGTTCCAGCTACGTATTCTTCTCTACAGTTTATATGCACAACTGTAAAAAAAAGAAGAAGGCCATTGGTTGATATAGCAATTGAATGCATGGCTATTCTGTTTCTGTCAGTGATACAGAAAACTGTAGACTGTCATGAAGCACTTTTCCCCAAGCCACTTTAGCATGCTGCATCATTTGTCTCTCACACACGCACTTCCTTATGTGAGAGAGATTAGTCACTAGTAACTGAGCAGAGTTTTAAAAAAAACACTGATGTGAACTGTAATTTGCAAGCTACAGAGACGTTACAATGTGAGCTGTTGATCTGACTCTCCTCAGACTCTCATGTTCTTTTCTCCATTTTGCTGCAGGAGCCAGAGTTGCCGTAGGGAACAGTGCCCAGGGTAGCCAGCCATGATAGCCACTGGAGGCCTCTTGAGGATCTCAGCCAGGAAACAGGATCCACTGCGGCCTCAGAGCCAGGTTCCAAAACGCAAGCGCAAAGCCAAAAAGAAACGCAAGAACGACGTGGTGGTGGTAAAGGGCAAGCTCAAATTCTGCTCACTCTCAGGCCTCATCGCTCTCTGTGGCATCCTGGTTCTGCTTGTGGGAATTGCCTTGGCAGTAGTAGGCTATTGGCCGAAGCCTCTTTACCGGGCGGGGGGGAACCAGTTCTTGCCACCACACGGAGGAAGCACCAAAAATCGCTCCAGGAGCCACGGAGGGAATGCAGGAGAATCTCATCTGGAAGGCTCCGGAACTAATTCCTCCTTCCCTAACAGAAAGAAAGTTCCCCCTCATTCATCACCTTCCCCTTCGCCCTCCTCAGCAAGTTTCCTTTTTCAACTTTTTTCTGGGTATTTGCATTCAGACAAGCTTAAGGTGCTAGGGCCTCTCATCATGGGCATTGGAATCTTCCTCTTCATTTGCGCCAATGCAGTTCTCCATGAGAATCGTGACAAGAAGACCAAGATTATCAACCTGAGGGATCTGTACTCCACGGTCATAGATGCACACAGTCTTCGGACCAAGGATGGGCCCCCCTCAGCTTCTGTGGCCCCAGTCCCAATCAATGGCTTTGTTAACTATGTTCAGTCTCGGGGGATGGAACTGAAACCTGGCAGTGGGTCCGGGGAAGCCTTAGGGGCCGCTGCCACGCTAGCCAAGAGCGCCTGGCACCCAGCGGTGAGTGCCCCCCTGTCTCCTCCTGACTTAGCATCGACACCACGCTGCTCCTCCTTCTCCTCCTCTAGGCATCCACCACCACCTAGCTTGACCGAGGCTGTGTACAGCATCTATCGGGAGAGAGCTGCCTTGGACAGAACTGCTCGGAGCCCACCTTGCAGCCCTCCAGAGAGCTGGGACCAACGCAGCACTGCCAGTTCCATTGTGGGCTCCTCACTCAGCGCCTTCACTTTGCTGCCGCTGGCTCAGGGGGAGGCAGCAGATAAAGACTGTCGTGGATGGCGGAGACCATTGGGTGAACGAGGGACCATGGAGATTCCACGGGGCGAGTTTGAGCTCAGTCTGACTGAGCTCAGGAGCAAATATGTGGACACAAGGCAAAGTCACACCATGCTGCCCAGGACGGGCAAACGCAAACTTGTTCTTAGACGCCAGAGCACAAGCTGCCTCCCTGATGCCAGGAGATCCCTCTCCCCAGAACCCTCGCAGACGTTGGGCAGTAGCACAGACTTAGACTCTAGTCTTTTAGTAAAGGCTTCCTCTTCCAGCTACTCCAAATCCCTAGATCTGGGGGACTCTCCCCCTTCCACACCACCTGGGGATAGGAGAGATTCCCAGAACTCTCAGTGTGATCAGTACAGAAGCAATAAGGGCTACACCCCACTGGAGGAGACAGGTACCTCCTTGGAATCTATTGCCAACACCCCAGCCCATAAAACCCAGGATTGTGATATCAACCCTAGTGGGGAAACTGCCCCCTCAGAGGGAACCAGCAAAGAACAAACAGAGCAACAGCATTTGAAAATTCAAAGACAATATACAAATAAAGAGAAACTCTTCATGATCTCCAGGTCGGATGCTGTTGCCGGGCTGGAGGAAGGAGACCTGGAAAGCACTGGCATTTAAACAGAATAAAATAAAATGGAGAAAAGCTTCAGAACAACCTGTAATCCTTCTGCCCCCTTGTGGATCTAGGAAACTGGTCACTATCCAAAGAGATGAAGTATGTTATCCTTGAATAGCATTCATTAAATTTATGTAGTTCTCTTCAGGGAAAAAGAAAAATTCTAACAGGAGTTTGATCTGTTCAGTTGTGATCCTATATTCCGTGGAAGCCAAATTGTATTACACATCAGAAGTCCAGTAAATTCTTTGGGACAAAGGAACCAAACTTCTTGACAATAATTGTGCACTTTATTAATCTTTATTTTCCATAGCCCCCTTCTTCTCTGTTGGATTTTATCATGTCATTAACTGCACAGTCTTTTCTGAGCTGCTGAGAGAGGTGATTTTCAATTTAGCGAAATCAGTCTCTCTCCTTCATTTTACTGTTTGCTTAAAATATCGTATTGGCAGGGATTGTGAAAAGGCAAAGCAGCTCTAATTTCTGTGAAAGTGTCAGCTGAGGAAAGACTGGCGATGGGTAGAATTATGGCCAGCTGAAATGCTACCATACTAAATTCAAATAACAATTACTTTATTAAGTATTATTGCACATGTATGAAGTAATAGCATTAATAACCATTTTTAATTTAAATAAAATATGTTTACAATGACAAAATATATTTAAGTAATTCTTCATTTTGTGCTAAATTACAAATGAAATAAGGCTATTTTTCAGTTTAGAAATTAAAAGTTTTATTTAAAAAACAGTTGTATGTATTAAATTAAGGAGAATAATGGTAAAAGTAAGAGTAAAGAAGGCAGAGAAATCAAGTTGAACAAGCAAATTTGATTTATAAGCCTTTTGTAGCCAGGATAATCTTGGAAATAATGCAGGCAACTTGAAGCAGTTTTGAGTTGTTAAGCATTAAAATGGTCAGTTGTAGTTTTGCAGCCTTATTAAAAATGCACTTCTTAGAAGGGTCCCATTCGGGTAAAAGAGATTTAAGACTAACCATTTGTATAGGACCAAGTTCCAAAATGGGGAATGGCTTCTAAGCTAAATTTTGATACACTGCAGTCATCATGAAATATGTTTTAAAAATTTACTCAATGAATATTTCTGTCCTATTTTCTTCTTAGAGGAAAAAGTTTGAGAACTGACAAGATGGCCTCACGGATTCATTTACTTCATTTATACTCTGCCTTTGCTAGTATTCACAACAAATGTTTTATCTCTCTATTAATAACAGGATCTCAAGAGATCAGTAATTAAATAAATGCAACAAAACCAAAAATATATAACACTCATAAAACAATAAAACAAGAACATGTGTTGTAATAAAAAACCCCTGTTAACAGCAGCAAAATCAATTAAACGGCAGCAGAAAGCAAAAAAAATGCCACCTATACAGGCCAGGGTAAATATTTTTTTTCCTCTGGCATCTAACACTCAGCAATGTATGGAGTGAAAGTTCTTTAAGCAAGATGCTGCAAGAGAACATTTTCTGTTCTCTCTGGTACCCACCGACAAATCCCAGTCCCCCTGCTTTCTTTTAACTTTTTTAAGTAGGCACAAAATGAAACAAAAGTAAAATGATTTTGTGATGGTTTTAGCATGTCAAAAGTCAGTAAAGCCATCATTCCTTGTGGCTTATTTCCACAAACACATCTAGCACCCAGTGCATCACTGTTCAGCCACTTGTTCAGCCACTTGTATCTACAGATAACCAAAGAAGAAGACAAGGGACCTCAAAAAAAGGAGACAAAATTAACATACGCTGATTTCCATTCATAGATGCAAATTTACACATAATTTCCTTGGGCTACAGCTTGTCCTGCAAATGTTTATGAAAAGCTGCAACAACAACAACAACAAAAACACCCACATGAAACCACTTCTGCTGATTATACTGGACAGAAGCAAGCAGAACCCAGATATTTCAGGAGACATGCCTCAAAAAGGGGGGGACTGCTCTCTGTAAAAGAGGATATCTGGTCATTCTACTTGTAGCCTAGTGTGTGAGCTGTTGTCATTGGAAAGTCATTTGTCTGAGAGTTGATACTTTATATGTGTTATTTTATAGCTGTTATATACATTCATTACTTGGTGATGCAATCAAAAAGTGATGAAGATGCATGTGAGAAATGTGACTTTAGCTATACTGAATAAAAGGAAAGGGTATGTAATTACTCATAGCCAGGGGGCAGCCTAACCAACAGCCAGAATCCCTTGCAGACCTTAAAACCATTGAAGAGCAGTCGAATGGCCACCATGTTGTCCAGACAGAGGCAACACATGTATTTTGCAGGTGCATACAGCTTCGTTATACATGAACCACTGGATTTTCAGGGTTCTGATTCATGTGTGCCAACACTGTACACACATGCAAAATACATGTGTTGCTGCTCTGTTCAGAAAATGTGGTGACCAGGGGTCATTTCCTGCAGGAGCGCACAGGAGCGCACAGGAGCAGAGCTCCGGCAGTAAAGAGTCCAGGGGGTGGGCACATGCAACAAGCCCCGCCCCCTGCTCCCAGCAGCCCTCAGTCAGAGCAAGAAACAGCCAGGTAAGCTGCAGAGCCCCCCCCCTGGCCCAAAACAGTCCAGTGGCACCTTTAAGACCAAGTTTTATTCAGGTATAAGCTCTCCCTCCTCTGCGAGGACAGATCTGCACGTTCTCCCAATAGCTAGCAATCCAAAACAGTCCAGTGGAGCCTGAGTGGTGGGTGTTGCCTTCTGACACACTTCCTGTTATGTCAGGGGGTGTAGCATATGCAAATAAGTTATGCTAATGAGTTATGTTAATGAGCTCCTGCACCTCTTTTTCTACGAACTGACCCCTGGTGGTGACCATGCATATCAAAGAGGGTTTACACATGGTGAACAGGGCTATAGTAGTAAGAAATCTTTAGACTTGAACTGCACATTTGAAAGAAAGGTCCCCAAAAAAGGGAAGGAGATCTGTGATTAGATCTCCTGCTACTTTTAAAAAGTTAAAAACAGCTAACACAGAGGTGAGAGGTGCTGCTAGGGAAAAGTGTACTTCTGCACCGTATCACCTGCACAAAGTTATCATTTGCCCTTTGGGAGAAAACATAGCCATACCTGTATGGTGCATGTATGCCTTTGAAGGGAAAAGAGTGCAACAAAGAGTCGATGTCCATGCCACGTGATCCCAATCCACACTTGTACTCTCTCTTGCACACAAGCTGTGTTTAGTGTAGTTTTTGAAATATTCAAACCAACTGGGAGAGTTGATCATACATCCTGCCATCTTGTCTAGATTGTTCCCAAGATCTGTTGGAATGAATGAATGTATTTGGATTGGACTGCCAGCCTGAAAAGCCCATATAGAATTATACTGGCCTACATCCAAGTGCTTATTCTCCAAGTACTTACTAATTATGGATTAGAACATAAATAACGTTTGAAGTTAGCTACTGAGTGTTCAATTGGAATTAAAATATATGCAAAATATATGCAATAATATGAATTAGAAAGCTTTCTTGCAATTCTAAAAATAATGAAAATTAATAAGAGCAATACACCATTACTGATGTTTGTGTTAAAATGGCATTTCTGGATTTGTAAGCATCTCATAACTATCTGATAGAATCCACTGTAAACTAATGATATTGTGAAAATTTATAATTGCCTGATTCAAAATGCAATTTTCTTAGTTTAGACTTGCATTTCACACTGAGGCTTCAAGAGTAATTTTCCCATCCTCACCATAAGCTAAAAGGATTATGAAACTAATGGCTGGGAGGTAGGGGTGGGAGTGAATAAACTAATAAAAAGCCTTTGCAAAGCTATGGGCTGTCAGGGGCCTATTATGCCAGGTCCTTTCCCTCGCTTTCACCATGCATGTCCATCAGGTTTTCTTTGTCATTCTGCACTGATTTTCCTCCCTTCAGCATTCAGTCACTTTCTAGTTGCTGTTTCCCCAGGTGTTCTGAGAATGCTTTTGTGCCAATTTCCCCTTTGTTTCACATCCAAGCCGAAGGTAATTCAAAAGCATACAGATTTCCCTTGGATTCCCCGCACACACCCTTTTGCCACCCCTCAAAGGTCACTCCCCAGCCCACATTGAGGTTGTTCCACCCACTGCATCTTCTGCCATCCTCCCCCCTTCATCAGTGTACAAGCTCCAGTTTTCCCTCATTGTTAATTTTTTAAAAAATGAGCAGCATGAGTGTAGCAATATGAGACTATCACTAGTCTTGGATTGTTGAATAAAAAAACAACAACAGAGGAAGTTTAAAAGGAGCTGTATGAGGTTTAGTTCCCTGCTGGTACTGACTTGAAAGGGGGATCGGAGAGGACTCAAACGGCAGTGTCTCCAGTGCAAAAAAAAAATTCATTATTGCATGCAAACAAAGGGGGGAATTGTCAGTGCGGAATGAAATTGACATATGATTTAAAGAGAGAGAGAACTGAGATGGGAAGCCTAAAGTTTTGAAAACATTTTTTTTGGGGGGGAAGCATTTTGGCAGTCTCCAAAAACCTAACATTAAAATGGCGACTGAGTCGCATGAATTTTCTGCAAACTGCCGAACTTAAGAACTGCTTGAGATTGATCCATTTAGAGGATGAGCACAATCAGGACAGGCTTCAAAAAAACTGCCAAGATCACGACCAGTGTGCAGGATCAAATTAGAGAATCACAAAGAGAAAACCACACGAATTTGCAAGGAAGGGCAGGAAATTAGCATTACTATGTAGCTGTGCTAGGGCATCAGCGAAAATAACCCCCCCCCTTTTTTTTTCAATTTAGTGGCACAAGACTTAAAAAAGCCCTCCAGAGCTTCTGCCAGAGACCTCCTCCTCCATACAAATGGCAACCCTGTGCAAAGCATGGTGGAGTTGCAACCAACTTTGCAGAGGCACGCACATGCACACACATTGCCAACAATCACAGTTTGCAATGCTAGGGTCGGTGGGTTCTACCATGCGTTCTGTTCACTCAATACGTTCCCCAATATTATGAGATCGTGTGACTCTTTC